GGGCAAAGAATGCCCCTAATATACCTACATAATTTTTAATATTAAAAATGTAATTGATCAGTAATGAAACTTAATAGTTTTAAAAAGAAATCACTAGAAAATTGTTAACGATAGATACTTTCAAAACGTATACTGAAAACGTCGTGTCCATTTTTAAAATGTTCTTAACAAATTGCCCCTCTTTGGGCCGTGAGGAGACCCTGGACTATCGGCTGCAGTGAGAGGAATATAAAATTCTATGCGACTCATTTCAGCGTTCCTACCCAGGAACCTGCCCTCGAAGTACTTCCAACGGCTAAGGAATAGCGTACCAATTCTCAAAAGACCAGAAATGTACTTTGGCCTTGTCTTTAAGTGTTTTAGTTTAAAGTTAGTTTTAAGTTTAGTTAAAAGTTTAAGCGTCTTCGGGCGGCATCAAATCTGGTGTAGGGTTCTCAAAAAACATAACTTTTGTATTACTTTAATCCGTAGTTACATTAACTTGAATAAATTAAAACAAGCTAAACACCTCGATCATTAGATCCCACATTCCTATTTAACATTTAAACCAAAATTATCGCCACTTAACGGCCATAAAAAGCTGCCCAGAGCGGTTCATATAAACATTTCAAACTTAGGATTTCCTAATCTATTGGAGCTCGCCGGAGGAATTTTATCATTTCGAACCTCCAAAAGAAACCAGTTTTTAAAAATCTCCACCCAGCCATTCGAATTCCAACCTAATGAGCTTAAAACGAAGTCGCTATTCAATTGATGATGGTGAGGTTGTTATAGCGTTTTTTCGTACATGTTGATCAAACTCTAATGAGCAAAGAACGTTGAACTTGACCAGTTTTCGGCTCGTCTGTTTCTGATACTCTATAGAACCGCCAATAAATATGTATGCACTATATAGATAGTATCTTAACAATCCAGTAAATTCCAGAAATAACTTCGACGTTTATTGTTTGTTATCGGATACCTAGTAATATAATAATGAATTGAAAGTATTTTGAGTAACCGAACGTTCTATCTAAAATTAAGTTATTACTCTATACCCCAGGGATTCCATTATTCCATTTGTCCCTCCTTTCCGTCGAACGCATTTTGGTCAAAGCTTACCGATGTCCAGACTAAGCATTCTTATAAACCAGCTAGGTCTGGATATCCATAGTTGCTCCCCTCACACTATAAAATCGATTTTTGTAATGTTTGTTTTGTTTAATAATTGTTTTGATTGATATTTGTATGATCTCTTAATGTATGTCATGTATGCCTTTAAGTTCATAAAAAATTGTATTTTATGTTTGTGTATACCAATGTATCAGTGCCGAGCGTTGGTAAGCTTTATCACTAAAAAAAATTGAATCTTAAATACGAAGTTTTCAAAAATCTTGGTTGCAATTACTTTTTAGGCTATCTCTTTAAAATATATTTTGTATAGCACGACACAATGACCACTATTTAAGTCTCAACTTGTTTGAGCTATCGCGGAATATGCTAAAGCATATTAAGAATGTCCATAACGCTAAATCACCTGCATCATGAGCACACCCCATACACACACCCTGACTTACACCATCACGTCTACATAGTTAGATGTATTGAAACCTCTTTTATCGATTTTTTCTTAAGTTTCGTAAATGTTTCTTTGTAAATATTACGTATTCCATTTTTGGGACCGTTCAAGTATTACGTAGGTACCTAAGCACTTTAGGGGGTAGGTCTTTGATTTTCTTATTTGGTGATTACGTCAACAGTAATTATTTACTTTTTTAGACATTACTTACACATTGTCTATGCTTTAAAACGAAATGCATTTTCGAGGATTCCTATTTTATGAAGATATAGGAATCCTCGAAAATTCGTAGTAGATCGTTTATTGTACCTACTATTATTTTTGAGAGCTTTGCTTACTTTTTTAATCTAAAATCTTTTTAATTATATTATTATAATTAATTACTTGAGATGTCATGTGGAACGGACGCAAAAGATTAGATATGTAAGTAAAGTACTTGAAAGACCGACTGGCAATGACATCTTCTGGGCTGATTTCTTTGATCTATACCATTCCCAGATGGTGGGGACCCCTCGGTGATTTACAAACACAGAAATGAATTGTCATCAAAATCGGATCCAGTCGTTTAGGCACACAGGAGTATCTGTCACTGAATTTCACACTTGCACACTTAAGAAATATATATATTAAAGTATCAAACGTATAAAAATATATATATTAAGCAATTTGTGGACTTTGATACTTTGTGTGATGGTGTAATATCCGTTAATGAACATTTTGTAAATATCATCGGCAGGAATGCCCATCTGTAAGGGGCCAGCTAGTTAGTCCATAAAAATTGTTTTGGGTTGCCGTGACCACTATCCACCAAGGCTTCCGAATGTGTAGCCGGCCTTTTAAAGGTACATATGTATACTCTAAATTGTATTACGCATTACGCTACACAAGATTTACTGATTCGGACCCCCTACGAATGGCGCCTGCCCGTCGCCATTTATAAATGTAATCCTGCACATTTGTATGTGTGGCGATTACCGAATTTTGCCGTGAGAGAATGTCCGTCAAGATGGTGGAATTTGCATTCAATAGATATAAATAATTCCGCGAGTGTAAGGCAATTTTGTACACTTTGTTTGCTGATCGCTACTTGTTGCTAGGAAGTAGATATGTAATTGTTTTAAAAATGTTTATTTTATTTAAACAATTTCTTTTTTTTAATTATTTAATTGCAATTTGAATTAGTCTATAAGAATGTATACTTGTTTTACACTATCCCTAATCCATATCCTATTTTGGACATGCGAATAAAAAACGTCAAATGAAAACCGGATCTCTCGAGTTTTCCGAAGTCTAAAAAAATATTTACCGAGAAATTACTAGTAGAAATTAAATACGTCCAGCTAAGAAAAAATATATTGAATGTCATTAAAATTACATAACACTTAATACTGAGTGTGACTATGCAATTTGTAAAGACAAATTTTATACCAGATATAAGTTCATTCATAAGATAGTCCTTCAAACCTTCACCTTGTAGTTTCCAAGCCGAAACAATTATTTTAATAAACGCAAGTTAATCCAAGCTTGCTTTGTTAACTAAATATTTTAAATAAACTTCAGTTTGACTCAATACTTAATAGCAATATGCAAACTTTTTTGGAAACAAACACCGACCACACTATATCATACACAAATAAATAAATCAGTGGCGCTACAAAGTCTTTAGGTCTGGGCCTCAGATTTCTGAATCTGTTTCATGATCATTTTTCAATCTAATAGGCAAGTAGGTGATCAGCCTCCTGTGCCTGACACACGCCATCGACTTTTTGAGTCTAAGACATGTCGGTTTCCTCACAATGTTTTCCTTCACCGTTCGAGCGAATGTCAAATGCGCACATAGAAAGAAAATCTATTGATGCACAGCCGGGGATCGAACCTACGACCTCAGGGATAAGAGTCGCACGCTGAAGCCACCAGGCCAACACTGCTCGACAACGCACACCTATATAAGCAACCCAAAAAACGCACTTTATTCGTTTTTTCTCCTTCCGAGGCCGTCATCTTTTACTACTTTCTTAAAAACCAAATTTTCACTAACACTTCAAAACTCGTATAACAAAAAATCTTATACAATCTTATTTTGATACAGAAAATAGTCTTATAGTTAAACTAGCTGACCCGGAAAACGTTTGTTTTGCCATGTACTTATAATATTTCTAGGACAAATTTTTGTAAGTTCAGTAAAAATAACTATCTACAATAATAAAAAATAGGGGTTGATCGTAGAGAGGTGAAAATTAGGGGTTGTTTTTTTGTATGCTGTATCATAAAAAAAAAAAAAAAAAATTGTCTAAAATATAAAAAATATTATTTTTGAGGTGGACACCTCGTATCACTTAGGGGTTTGAAAGATAGATAGTAGCTCAGACTTACTGAATGCATAAAAAATTTCATAAGAATTGGTGGAGCCGTTTCGGAGAAGTATGGGAACGAACATTGTGACACGAGAATTTTAGAAATAGAGATATAAATTATGTTATGTATAAGGAAGAAAAGAATGTCAAAATGAAGAGACTGGCTACCCAACACAAGGAGTCCTAGCGTGGGACCAGTGCACTTTATTTTATTTAAATATCCTGCTATTGTGCAAAATAAAGTTTTTCTTTATAAATATTATTTGCCTATAAAAAGTAACTTATGTCTACAACGTAGAAGAATTACCCTCACGAATAAAACAAGTAAACATCTGAAAAGTGCTAATGAATGGTCACTGACCACCAATTAGAGGGAAATTTGCACATCGAGCAAGTTAAGAGGTCTAAATTGCCAAATAAACGTGGTTAATTGTTGTAATATAACTTTATTGTGTGTTAGCGTACGTTTACATATCCTTGACGGCTTCTGTTTACCTGAAAATAAATGAATAAAATGTTTTCAATACTAATTTAATTAAATACGGTCGTTTTTTTTATGTAATAAGAGGCAAACGGGCAGAACGCTCTCCTGATGTGAAGTGATACCGCCCATGGAGACTCACACAGCCAGAAGGCTCGCAAGTGCGTTGCCCGCCTTACAAGAATTGGTATGCTCTTTTCTTGAAGGACCCTAAGTCGAATTGGTTCGGAAATACTTCAGTGAACGTTGATATACGAATTAGGATATGACATATACACATACATATTACATATACATAAAAAAACAATCTCAATATCAATCAAATGATGTCATATAAGTCAAACTTCATACAAAGTTTGACAGCTCCTGAAACTAGATTAAGGTTTTATTGACATTGGAATATGGGCAAGGCCCAAACTATAACACAAGGCCCAAGTAACGAAACTATACCTTTAGCTATCAAAATCAAAATTAATTACATTATAATTACTAACATTACTATTAAAATGAACAAATTAATAAATCAATTAACAATTATTTAGACAATATAAAAATAGTAAAAATAATAAGCAACTGAGGTACAATCCTGATATTGTACGCACCATATTCATCGTTTGCTATTAATCAATCTCATTAATCGATTTCTTTGATGGAGAGGCATGCGAGGCACTTTTATAGACACTCCTTCGTCGTTTGAAGTCAGCGAAGGCTGGAACATATTACTTTTTATAAACTTTAAATTGAAAGTTAATTAAATCGTAAGACTTTTAAGACCAAACTGGAACTATAGCAAAAATAAATCTTAGAATAAGTGGAACAAATTGAGGTCTCAAAAAATTTACTTGAAGTTAGAATATGTGAACTAGTTTAGTTTATTGTGAAAAGATTGAAAAGAACCTTATTATCTTGAGTTAAACTATACGACAGGGGGTTTTTGGATATTGGGACGAAACAGAAACCATTTCTTTAGCAGTCTTCCTGCAACATGCCGGAATGAGCTCACAAAATGGCTGGTGCACACAGTCTGGAATTGCGTCGTACGGCACAGAGTCAGTGCAGAGCACGCGAGCAATGCACCGTGGTATCATTAAACATGGCGGATCATGTCGACACACCATACGTGATCTGGGTCTCACTTGAGTACTCATATCTTCTTTTGCAGTTAACAATAACAACTTCTTGGAGCACATTGGAAACTCTCTACATCTCGGACGATGAGGACACTGAGCCTGTCCGTCAGCGGAGTGTCGTAACAAGCACTCAGGCAACTTTGGACACATTGGTACGTGAACACAGGACCGTGAATCTTTCAAAGTTTGGTCTAATTTCGGCTTGTAGCAGCCACGAACAATTTCACAAGGTGGCTTGTGGTTACAAACACTCTGAACAATCTTTTCCGTTTGGAATTCTGGCAACAAATCCTGTATGACAAAGGGCTGTTCGTATTGACAAGCTTGCTCTATAAATTGGCTTTGATATTTATTTTTTCGAAACTCGGAGGATTTCTTATGTTGAGTAAATCGCCAGATATTCATCAGCCCAGATGGTTTTGGTGGGGGAAGATTGAGACAACCATTTATTAGAACACAGGGAGGGTTATGAATACAGAGAATTTCCCCATTATAACTTTCAGCTAGGGCTGCAGTTATTTCATCGTGAGGCTTCTGACATTCGTTATAGGTTGGGGTAGGGGGTTCGTAAGTTTTTAATTCTTTAGAATTACATTGACAATCACGTGAGGTTGCATTCTTTGAGAGCGAATGTGGATCAGGGGCTTTTGTCAACTTTATACCTGATGAGCCAGAACCTTGCATTTGTATCGAATCGGGTGACATTCTACCCCGATTTGGGCTCTGTAAAGTATCGGAACTACCTTTCAAGATATTTTTAAATTTTTCACAACTTGTAGGACAGCAATGTGACATGTCTTGCTTCTGATTTGTAATTTGTGGTGGCTTTCGTATCTGTTCACACGCACAATCATTAGGAAACTGGTCTTTCTTTTTGTACTTCGCCTGGATTTTTTCGGCAACAAAGTTCCAAAAACTGGATGATGAAGATGGCTTTACTTTTCCGTCATTAGATTTACCCGGTAGTGATCCATAATTTATCTGACAACATGTATTTCTCATCGCCTGTGTTACGCGTTTGGAATACATTGATGGGTATTGTAGAGTTTTGTGTCGTTTATAATCGGAACCATCCAAATTAGTTTGGTTGTAGAATATTTCATAGTTTTCTATTCCATCATCCGGAGCAGTCATTATTGATCTTTGCTTGTAACGATTATCAATGGAACCAACTGATGAAGTCAAAGGAGAAGGTGTACCAGATGATTGGTTTTTCGAGGCATGTTTTTCAGGTGCGGAAATTTTGGTAAGAAATGGAGTAAGTAAATCTCCTTCAACGTTGTAAACAGGTTGTTCTAATCCTCTCGCCTTGCGACGTTTCTTAATTCGTCTTTGTTCACAGCCAACACAATATAAATACTGATTAGTGTCAATTTTGTGATTTTCTTCAATACTTGGCAATTGCTTTGTGTAATTACTTGGACGTCTAAAAATATGAGACAAACGTGGTAAAACTTTGCCTTGTAAGGACTTAGAATATGTATTCAGACTACCTTGATGGTCCCCTCGATTCTTCTGATAACTCTCTTCCTTACCAATTTGCGTGTCTATAAGTTTGTCCTTTGAACAATATTTTTGCAATACATGTTTGAAGTACTTCTTATCTCTTTCTTTACTTGATTTAAGCTTCGGATCTTCATATATCATCTGAATATTTGGAGGGCTATCATTTCCACTGACGCCGTCTAAGAGGTGATGTTTTCCATGCTTTATACTTACAGCAGGGATTTTGGTCGGATATTCAAAATCAGTACTATCTGTATTCCTAGTCACGTAGCTTTTGTTGACTTTTTTTAAAAAGTTATCCATATAATTATCATACATTTTGGTGTGTTATTATAGTATACTCACGCAGGTGTGTCGGCGTTTCATTTTTTTTTAATTATTTTACATAGAAATTACATTTTGAAACACAAGAATTTTTAATTTTTCGACGTTTTGACATTGTCTCACGGATTTAAAATGTCTTTTAAGAGTTAAAGAGGAAGAGTTTTTATTATGCTTTGATTTCATAAGTTGTGTACAATCGCTTGTGCATTGTTATATTTCGCATTTAAAACTAGATTTAAAACAAATTTAAAAGTTTACTATAGCTTTTAAAACAATAAAATATAAAGGAGCTTAAATGTTTTGTTAGTCAGAGAGAATAAACGGTTTCCGTCGCACGCGCAGGGTGGCGTACTAAAACAATGAGTTGGGGCCGACGTTATTATTATAGAAATTAAATGCTGAATTAATATGCAGAGGTGATACGTCATGCTGGAAGCGTTGAGCATTGACTGAAGGGGCTATGTGCTAGGATTTAATATTTTGATACTTGAACGAAAAAATATTAGTTATTAACTTATTAGTAATAATATTAACTAAAGTAAAAACAAGCAACATTTTATGAAATTATATGATTAGTATTGACGAAATATAACTATATTTATTGTGGCGTTTCTCCATTAATTACGTCATTTACTTTTATACAAAAAGTACATAATATATGTTGTTATTACAATGCAGTCACATTTACAAAGCATATATTTTATATAATTAATATTTAATTTGGAATTATATCTGATCATAAGTCACGTTCATGTGTCATTTTTACCGCGCACCACCACTATGTGGAACCAGCTGCCCTTTGAAGTATTTCCGAACCAATTCAACTCAGGTCCTTCTAAAAAAGAGCGTACCAATTCTTCAAAAGCCGGCAACGCACTTGCAATTCTTGTCCATGGGTATCACTTAACATCAGGTTTAAAATTTCAGAGAATAACAAAACGATCAAAAGCTCCCAATCCCACTAACACGCACAAACACGTCACACTATAAAATAATAGGAAAGGAATAAAAAAGTTATCCAAGGTGAATGCCAACCTTTCTAACCGAAAGGGTTCATATTAATGTACTGGGGAACAACCCTTCCTAATCATAGGTGATCCTTTTTTATGCTCTAAATTAAACGTAGAATAGTTATTATGGTACGGTCAAGATGGTTTATCTTTTTGTTTTAAAATTGGTATAACGAACATTCTCAGGAATGTTGTGTTATAGACAAGGTATAATATTTTAAAATTAGAACGTATTTTAGAAATGATCACGCAATGGGTATTTTTTTCTACATACGGTGGTCTGGACATTTCCGCACTTAGATGCCCATTTCAAACTCAAAATAACTTTACTCATATAGGTAAACAAGTATACTCATAGTCAACAGAAAATATGTTAAATTGATTCTAAAATCTAAATTAACAATCACTACCAGTTCGCAAGTCAAGGGTGTAGAGCGGGCAAGAAGGACTGGCAAGAAGTTTTGAGTCATACAAATTGTTTGTACTGGAGCAAATCAATCCCAAGGATTAGGATCATGTAAATATTCGTCAAATTTATAATTTTAATTATTTGATCCGTCGTGCGTTAAGACCTGGCTAATTAGCCAGCGTAGCTGGAAGGATCCAGAAGAAGTTTCCTAGGCACTTCGCGAGCTTCACGGAGTATCCTGACTGACCCAATTTCTCTTAATTGGGAAGCCACAGCCATTTCAAGACTACGTCGGTGACAGATTCCTTTGTGCTGAAACAACCTATGCACTAGGTCTGTCGCGCCAAGGACAAAGAGATGTTTATTAAGGAGACAGCGGCCCGTGATTATCATTTGGGATAATTTCTGTGGAGGCTTAGCGACTAGCTTTTGTCAGTAGCGAGTTTAGTGCTGGTAGTGCCATTTTTCTATTTAAAAAACGGTACACAACAATTTTAAAGCGTTTCTTTAGGCAGTTTTTGCCGCGCACCACCGCTATGTGGAACCAGTTGCCCAATGAAGTATTTCCGAACCGTATTCTGGCAATGTTAGTGTCCATGGGCGGCGGTTTCACTTAACATCAGGTGAGCGTCCTGCCCGTTTGCCTCCTATTACATAAAATAATGTGTTATAGATAAGTGAACCCTTGGAGTAAATAAATTTTGTAAGTTTCACTTCTGACATGTGTACTTTGTACGCACGCACTATTTTTAATAATTTTTGGACCCCTACCAAGATACTGTACCTTTAAGATATAATCGATACCTAAGTACGGCCATGTGATGAGGTAATATATAAACTATGCATTGATGCAATTATGTCTTCTGAGTCAAGACCGTGGCCTTTATAACGTCATGATTGTGCAATCCACTATTATTATCCTTTTTATATAAAATTTATATTGCTATAATTAACGAATACAATTGTCTACCTATACATAAATGATGTTTAGTCCCTCAAAGACGACTCATTAATTTTTAAAGGCAAGGTGTCTTTAGAGCGTGGGTGAGTATTTAGACCATAAGTTTTGATAAACAATTATAATTTACTGTTCTTATTAATATGACATTCGAATGCCTATTTTATGGCTGATTATACGGTGTTTTTTTATAATTAATATCGCGTCTTTTTCTATTTATGTTCTTATATATTATGTAAAACGTTCAAATGTGTCAGTACAAATGTACCTACTTTGTGTATGTGTTTGTCTCAAATGACTTGACGGTCAAGGTAATTAGGATTTTAAATTATTAAACTGCTTTTTTACAATACAGTTCACAAAAGATACATGAATTATAATTTAGCCTATACAATTTCGCTAATAAGTAATGTGACTTAATTTTCTACAATACTAGTGAATAGATTAAACTAAGGTAATGTTCATTAATAGTCTTAGTGTTCTATAATGTTTTGACACTATGTTCGTGTTTACCTCACTTGCACTTATATTCACTGCACGATTTTTATTAACTCAAAAAGTTTAGTTGTCTTAGGCGTTGTTCCTGATGAATTATTAAACTAAACCAACATTTTGTGTTCTTCTGCTGATAACAGCACCGGTACTCCCTTACCAATGTTAAGTTTTTCTACCGCGCGGTGAGACCAGTTACGAATATTGATACACGAAAGTGCATACAAAAACTTTGAGATCGCTATTAGCAGTTACAGAGGAACGACTTGATAGAATACAGTATACCTACTCGCCCGCTGTCATGGCAGTAGGTGTGCAAAATTAGTTTCTAAACGAAAGATTTTAATGTAATAACCGGAAACGCACTTACGTGCAATGTAAATGGGTTGCGGTATCACTTAAGATTAGGTTTTTTGCTATTTAAAAATATACAAATAATTTAAAAGCGAATTCTACATAATTGGAACATGCTCTGGGTGGTTCTTGCAAAGTAATTAAAAACTAGATATTATATAAAAACTAGTAATTTGTGTGATTAATTTTCTTTTAAAATTATAGGATTTTTGTAAGAGCTAAGCTATTTATTTTATACTAGCGGACCCGACCGACGTCCTGCATGATTTAATTTATTATTTTATCAACATAATAACTCTGATCGAATCATTTGTTTTAAACAATGTATTCATTATTCTTACATCCTCTTTGACGATATTTGCAGCACGCATTATGTCATAAGAACCCTACCAAGACCAAGGGAAATAGGTAATAAATATCGCACTCATTAACTAGTTAGCTGTTAAATATATTTGTAAGAAGCATTTTGACGCTACCCCTCTTTATACAAGGTGGTATAAAGAGCCTGCTAAACGCCTGTCTTATTTAAGACAAATATTAAATATTTGTATATTTTAATATTCGTACAGCATAAATATGCAAACATTCAGGATTATTTTACATCGTGTACAACCTTGTAGTTCAGAACATGTCGATGAATGAACTTATCAAGGTTCAAGATTCACCACATGTGAATAGCACATGTGTTAGGGTTGTTACGTGTTAAGAAATATAATAACAAAGAGGCGCCTATTATGGTATACCAATTACCTTTTAATAGATTCTTTATTCTTCGTAGTTTTCACTGAAACTCGTCTTTCTTATAACAGTATTTATTTCCAACACACAAATATACAGTATTACAATTTTCTTATCCTACTAATAATGATAATTACAAATTAATAAATAGAAAATTAAAATAAATTTTAAAAATTTGGTCCCTGTGCTTTTAATGCTGGCATTGCTTCGTTGATTACAATACTTATTCGTTGAGCGAGGAAAGCAGGGGGTCTACTACTATCTACCAGGCACCAACTTGAATATTTAATTAGCGCCTGTGTACTTGTGTACACTGCCCAAGAGTCTACTCCAAACGGAACAAATCAATTTTTTCTTAAAACTAATTGTAACAACCCTAACGACATTTTAACAAAACAACAAGATTTCGTACAAATGGTCTTTTTTCGATACCCCACATCGTTGTGAATACAACAAACAGATTTCGAAACTGGTTCATTACGAATCCTTAAACCAGTGATGATAACATATATTTGTATGTTATCTATAAAACAGTGCAAAACATAAGTAACTATAAAAAAAATTAAAATATTTAATAGTATTTTAATTGACAAAATTAATCAGCTGTATGTGAGCCGTGTTGATGGCTTCAGCGTGCGACTCTGATCCCTGAGTTCGTAGGTTCGATCCCTGGCACCAATGGACTTTATTTCTATGTGCGCATTTAACATTCGCTCGAATGGTGAAGGAAAACATCGTGAGCAAACCGGCTTGCCTTAGACCCAAAAAGTCGACGGCGTGTGTCAGGCTGGTCACCTACTTGCCTATTAGATTGACAAATGTTAATGTCTGTTTCATGAACAGATACAGAAATCTGAGGCCCAGACTTAAAAAGGTAGTACCCTCCCTAGGAGAGCTAAAGTAGGTGATATTCCAATAAATACTAAATCTAATGGCTTTCTTTTAACAAAGATAGCTGTCTCATTCTGTCAAATTGTGTTTACGTTGTGATAAAAAGAGATGAGTAGTTTAAAATGGTGTTCGACAAATTTGG